ACAGGGAGCTCATGAGTGAACTCGTGACAGTAGAATAGAAGCTGCAAGAGATTATAAGCATGACCAGTTGATCTGGGAGAGAGAAAGAGAGGCTGTCCAAGCATGCATTGAGGAGGACAGGAAAGCTAAGGTCCTGAGGGGTGTACAGGGCAACAAGAAGAGTTTGAGCAGGTATGACAGCAGCAAAGGGAAGATTAGGAAAAATGTGGGACTCTTCTTAAATGGTCAAAGGACCTGGTGGCACAGGACACAAAGAAGGCCAAGGTACTCAGTACCTTCTTTACTTTGGTCTTAAGACTGGCCTTCAGGAATGGGTCCATGAGACCCATGGGAAATTTTGGAGCAAAGAGAGCCTCAGTAGCAGAGGAGCAAGTTAGAGAACCTTTGAACAAATTTAGACATTGGCAAGTTCATGGGACAAGGTGGGATATATCCCTGAGTGCTGAGGGAGCTGATTAATGTCGTTTGTAAGGCCACTCCTGATCATCTTTAAAAGGCTGTGGTGATCAGGAAGGATTCCTGAGGACTGGAAGAAGGCAGATGTCATATCTTATACTCAAGAAGGAGAATGTGGGGAACTACAGTCTGATCAGTCTCATTGCAATTACTGGGAAGGTAAGGGGAGAAAAAACAGTCCTAGAAGAAGTTTCCAAACATATTCCAGAGAAGGTGGTGACAAAAGGTAACTGGCATTGATTTATGAAGGAGAAATTATGTTCAATCAACCTGACAGTCGTCTGTAGAAGGCTGGTTTGGCAGGTGAGGGGAAAGCTAAGTGTTGCCTCCCTCACTGCTACTTAAAAAGCCAACACACACCACTACCCAGAATCAAAACACAGAAATGCACCCAACCAACAAAACACCGCCACCCTTCCACCAGTCTTGCAGCATTTTGAGATTAAAAGCAGCAGCTATGCTAGTGACTTTGTCCCTGTCCGTTTGAGATAAATGCACTAGAAACAATACCTTTTTTATTACATTTTTCAAAGAATAGTGGGAGATACATCCAAGGAAAGAATAAGCAAAATAACCTTTGCCCTTCCTGGCATCATTAGGGAAAAAGAAATGTGTTTGTAAGGTGTATGTGTGGGATTTTTATCAAGTGTATCTCTGGTTTGATCTAGCCAGAGTTAGATCCAGTTAAACAGTTTGTGCTAAAGCAACAAAATCATAGAGAACTGGGAGATGAGAGACAGAAAATTAAAAGAAAAAGCTTTAAAAAAAAATAAAAATAATTTCCCTTGTTTGCTTTCAGCATGCTTGTAATTGAGTAGGAGTGATGTATAGTATACAACAAGAAAGAATATTTAATAGGAGGAATTCGTAGAGTGTAAAAATGCTCATTAAAATCTCTGTTCGTTGCAGTACGTAACGGCCCGGAAAGTGGCAGCAAAGTTATGGTTCAGTTCCCACGGAGCCAGTGCAAGGATCTCCCCAAAGGCGATGTACTGCAAGACAGCAAGTGGAATCATCTCCGAGGGCCATTCAAGGAAGTTCAGTGGAATAAAATGGAAGGGCGTAACTTTGTGTATAAAATGGAACTGCTCATGGCTGCCCTAACTCCCTGCTAATGAGGCGTCGGCCTCTCTGTGGGGGCTTTGCATAGTCTCTGTGCAACAATCACCGCCCCTGCAGCAAAGGGAAATGGAAGCTATGGGCCAATACAAGAAAGCAAAACCAAATTTATTTCCTGTACAGATATGTCTATTGTGGAGTTTGTAATAAAACTTTTTTCAATGGCATATAAAAATAGATACAATTTTTTGAAAAAGTTCCTCTCAGCTGTACCTTTGCAGATTGCTCTGTCCAGAGTAACATAGCTGAGTAACTAACGTATTTTTGTTTTATAAAATTAAATTCAGTATTCCTTTTACTACATGAAAGGTGTCTGCTTGCATCATTCCCTTTCCTCTCACGCCCTTATTTTTTTCAATAGATCTTTGCAAGTATTTCTGAAAGATTAAAAATATTAGAACTGAATTGGGCTCTCAGCCTTTTAGTGATTTATACCACAGGACCTGGCTATCCCTGTGGATGCTAATGGCCTTGTTTGATGAGAATTGGGACAACAGTCGAAGCAGAGCTCCTGTGTCAAGAATTGAAGCTAAACAAAACTTAAGAATTAAGGAATGTCTTCACTGCCTGACATTCTTGAGTTGGATTGTGTTTGTACATTGATGGGGATTCTGGGTGACCCATTTATTTTTGAGAAATATATTTACTTGGCAGTTTGTTTAATTTGAGAGTGTTACAAAGTGACAGCATGTGTTTTCTGTCTCTTTTTTCCAAGAATATAGAGGAAAGGTCTTACTCTGCTTGCAAAATTCTGACAATTTGAGTTTGTGAGTGACTTGTGTAAATTAATGTCTGGGTAGAAGGTGGTAACTCTCATGCAGTAAACCTTGGATCTCCACACTTGTGCTTCTGGGTTTTTATCTTGCACTCTCAACAATTATCATCCAGGGAAACAATAATATCCTCCTGAATATCGGCTCTTTTGAGGTCTTTCAAAATGAAGTCATGTTTTTGATGGTTTTGGTTTGGTAACTGTAGCCTCCTTGAAGCTTCTAGTAAGGTGTTTAACAAAGCTTTTATTTTCTTTGGTACTTAATTGCTCAAGGTCTTTTTGAAACTTGTCTGTATGAACTGGTTCACATGTCCACGTTGTGTTATGAGGTGTGTTTATATGTATATATATATGAGAAGTTCTTGCACATAAACATGTTTGAATTGAACATCATACTTCTACGATGACAGTTGTTATTTTGTTGTATTCTCAAGTCATAAATAATAGTTTTGGGAAATACATATTAAGAAATTGCTTGTGGCAAGCTGCGGCTCAGTATGTATCCAGAGCAGCTCTTGTAGTTCTGTTGATGTTTGCCAGCATGGAGCATCTTGTTTCAGTTCCTCTAAGTTCCTTCTAAGTAGCTTAATCTATGAGAGAGAAAGGGGTTTCCTTTCAGGTTCTGGTAAGTCGCCCAAGACAACTGATGAAAATGAAAAATACTAGTTGAAAATAGTCTCCAGATCTTCTTGAAAAATGGGTGAATCTTATTTAACACCCATGATGTCAGGTCCTGTATTGGTGGGCTAACAGACGCTGTACCACTGCAGGCAGGGAGGGATTTTGTTCGTTGGTGAACAGTTCAGCCAACAGCCTAATGCATCTGACTGTATGAGGCTGTTTTGACTCCTGCCAACACAATAAATCTTCCCTTACTAATAATTAGAAGATCAGTCTATGAAACTTGAACATGTCTTTACACTTCACTGTTCTTAACCTAAATTGACAGGTCTACATGTAGTGATAGCCTTTTCATTAGGTAAGTTCTTCATTACCATGTAATCAGATCACTGTGGAGCTATTAGAATCTCACGGTTGCAGGACTTGTCTCCTGAAAAGAAATAATGGATGCAAGAGGACATCTAATGTGGAAGTGCAAGCACTGCATGTTAGCAGTGAAAACATTTGTCAAGACTTCCATGTCTAGCTGAAAAAAAAATAATAATAACAACAAAAGAATTCTTAGAGACCTGGAGAGTCTGTATTTTAGTGCTAAATACACAGGGATTCCTAATTTTAATGGAAAACAGACTGATTAGGCTTCTAATAGAGGGACAGTCTTGAAAATTGGTAGTGCATCTTTGAAGATGAGATGAAGACACGGAATGATCAGGATCTTTACAACTGATTGCCGAAACAATCTTGTGAACTTGGACATCTCTTTAGTTTAAAATGCCTTAACCCCTTTGATCATCTCGAATGCTCTAAATATTAAATTTGCTGCTGTTCTGCAGGGAATTTACAAGTGGAGTAAAAATAGCTATTAGTTTCTGAACTTCCACTGTAGCAACTTGCCATAAGGCTTTAGATGCTCCAGGGTAGCAAGAAACTTCTACAGACAGCTTAGCCTCGCCTTCTGTATATAAAATATTACTGACATTAATAATGCATATTAGCAAACATAATTTTCAGAAAAATGTTGCTATTTTATAAAAGACGCTACCTGTGTAGAGTAAGAATGATAAAGTCTGGGTAGAATTTGTGGGTGAGGAATTGTCTATAAGGGAAGCTGTACATAGGTTAACTGTACTGGATGTCATCAGTGATTGTTGAGTCCCCGTTGTTCATCTGGGATATTACTGCCTAAAAGCGAAGTTGGCCCCACGGTCAACAGCCAGAAATAGGTGCCTGAAGTTGCAGTGACTTCGGCCGAGCTGAGAGAGGTAGAACAACTGTGCTAGCTGAAAACTTGTTACTGCTGTTGTAGTACATCTTAAACTGAAGAATATTAAGTGGTCATTTCCTACTTTCATCCTAGCTTTCAAATACTGTGGTTTACAGGTGTGTGTGATCTCTACACAGCAATGCACTTGAATGGTCATTCATGTCTGGATGTGTTTCCTGACTTCCTTTGGCAATTGCAGTGTTCAGGGCAATGTTAGCAGATAATAATGTGTTATGTGTAAGCTGCGCTTTTTGTACTTTCTAAATAAGTCTGGCAGAGCACCTGCTACACATTTCAATTCAAACTAATAACTTCACATTCAAATTCTAAGATTTAGAGAATTAAAAAATATGGAATAGATAAACAGAAAAAAACCCCAATAATGTTTTCCATATGCTATAATTATACTTCACTGAGTACTTCAGGCTTGTGATTGAAACAGATGCACTTAAGAGTTTCTATGTTGTCAAAGCTTAGTTCACTCAAAGATACGTTAGACTGGTAATACACATTTAAAACAGAAAATTAGGACAAACTGTCAGTCATCTGTGCTGTATCTGAGATTTTTAAAATTTAATTTCTTCCCTTTTTTGACCTGTTCTCCTAAATGCAGGAAGGAACAAACAGCTGAATCTAGTACTTGAATTTATGAGGGGGAGAGAGGCCCTCATACTACAAATGGCCAGTTCAATCTGAGTATGACTTAAAGGTATTGTGTATAGGGTGCTGTTGGAAAAAAAGCTTGTTAGACACCTACCTGCATTGTTTTGCACTTGGTGGGAAATTCTCTGAGAGTTTTTCCAAATGGAACCTCTGCACCTGGTCATCCTAGTTCCTGACCAGAGGGGAAGCTCTGTCAGTCTGTCCTGTAAAAGGTTTTTGCAAACAAGTGAGACAAAGTGTGAGAGAGGTAGTAGCAGCAGTTTGACTCAAACAGCCGCGTGGCAATCTACAGGCACAGACTAGTCCATGGTCTCTTACATTTTCCAAGTTTATTTCACACTGCAAAATTCTCATTACAAAAGCAAAACAAAATAATTTGAAGCTCGGTCAGTTTAGTGCTTTCTCGCTGACAAACACAAATGTTATTCCACCCAACAGATCTGCAGGTGGAGGATTGCATTAAGTGCAATATGCAGATTCAAGAAAGCATTAGTTGGATCACGTTTTCTTTGAACATAGGGAAAGCAAAGGTGGCTTCTCAACAAAAGCAATTTCAGAACTGTATTTGTAAATACTAAATTTCAAAGTACTGCTGTTTTAATTTTTCTTCTCAGACTGTTTGTCACTGGGCTAAGTTTGCAAAGGGCTGGACATCTTTCACAACAAAACTGTGTAGTACTTTGCCACCCCACTGGTGCGGTGTATCAGTATTTTGTGAGCCTTCATATCTTTGTAGAGTGTCCTCTTTAGTGCCTGCACAGGCTTCCTTGTATAACCACCTGCTCTAGTAATGTCATAAAATGTGTGTTAATATCCATCCCGGGGCAGTGTAAACAATTGCAAACATAAGTGGGAGAACTTTGACCAGCTCCGCATTCTTTCAAAGTCAGTTTTGTCTCATGAAAAATTACAGTTTGTCTTCAGAGCTTCAGGAAGTTCCTTACACCCGAAAGTAGCAGCATAGGTGCAATAAACAGGATTCAATGCTTGCAATTAATTTTTAATGTAATACTGTAATTAGATATTAAATTTATTATGTTGAAGAATGCTAATGACCACTCTGTCTTAATAGAAGACTTGCTGTATCCAAAATACAGGTGTCCTTCAAGACCATGATAATTTCCTTTATGGTTGGTCTTAGAGGCTTGGTTGCTTGGTTGGCTAGTTGTTTTCAAGAGTGGTGGAGGCTGTAGATTTTATTAGTAAGCCACAAAAATGTGTTCGTGCTCGCATGAAAGCGTTCTCTTTTTTTACTGTGACCTTGACTAGCAGAACTGAAAAAACTTAACAGGTCAAACAGCTCCATCAGACACTGCTGATTTGATTAGTTTGCAAGTCAGGATGTTTCTGCAGTAGTCACAAACATTTTACCTTCTAGGTTTGTTCCTGCTTTCTTGGTCAATATTTTCTCCTGAGGTAGAATTGTTATTTTTGCTATGATACAGTCCTTGGCTAACACTCAATGGTTTCCAATTCAATCTCTTCCGTTGTACTTGCTGTAAATAAAAGCATATTGTTATTGATTGGCAAATGGATTGGAAGGCCAATGTTCCAAAATTACATGCGCTGTGCTAATAGCTGAGATATTTTGAAATTTTTAATATTAGCTCAAGCCTGCTCATCTACAGTTAGGTTTTAAATACATCTTTTCAAAATATTAAACTGCATAAAGAAGCCCTTACAATCTTTAAAGTGATACCAGTTTCTTCCAGTACAAGGCTAAAGGCACTACAAAATCTGAAGTCCACAGGGCTCATCCTTACACCTCTCTTCATAACTTCTGAAAGGAGGGCTCTTCTAAGGTGGAATTGGGGAAGAAGCTAGGTCCTTGCTTTGGACCATGTTCTGGGAGATGACACAACAAGTTTCTGGAACTGTGGTTTTCCTGAACTCTGCCAAATAACTGTATTCAATTCAGCTCTGTAGGAAGATTAGCATTAACTGGAGGAAGAGGCTTTATCCCAGCAAAAGCCAGTATTTCCTGGCATGATAGGAAAACTTTCAGTAGCTACAGAACCTTGTGAATGGTGTGTGTACCATGAAAACAGCAGCAACCCTTAAGAGCTGTATGTGAGTGACAGAAAGGAATAGGCAGCTCAAGCCAAATTAATTTCTTCTTTTATCAGGTTTTGCAGAATATACACAAAGTTTGGGCCATAAGGCTTAGAATGCTCGAGTATCTGTGTTGGTCTAGTAAAATCCTGATAGCTGTGCTGCTTGTTGTAATGTAAAAGCTTAAGCAGCGCTCATTATAGAAGAAATACAGACCTGTTTCCTACAGGGCGAGAAACCACTAGTGGATCAGCACTTACAAAGTATGGAGGTAAACATCTGAAATGTTTTGAAGTGGTAAAAGAAACCTCCCATTCCAAGGATGCGCCTACAGAGTTCGATCCCAGGTCCATAGCGTGGCACCTTGTCTTGCTGCCTAGGCCAAATATCCCTGGCTGTGGCTTGCAGTTTCTTCCCTAATACGTGAATGTTCCCCTCAGTGCGGCCCTCATGTTCCCTTGACCCGCTTTTCATGACTGTTATCTTCAGTGTGTGTCAGGAGTCTGGTTTTGATATTAGTGTTTGTTGCAGTCTGCAACTGGATCAAAGGTGAGGACAGATGAAGGGGGAGTTTGAGAAGAGAGGGAGAGGTGCAGTCCTTCATGAACTGAGGTGAGGGCCACTCCCAAGGGATTATTTTCCCCGAGGATATACTCTTCTAGTGTGAACTCTGAAAAATTGCTGATGCTCTTGACTTTGTCTCCTGCCTTCTGATAGGGGGGTTATTGCAGCTCTTGCCTTTTCTCCCCAGCTTTTGCAATCAGCAATGTTGGGAAGTGTTTTATTATTTCTGATGTGAAGTGTATGAAGTAGATGTCCTGTGGCTTGTTCTGCAACTAAACACCTGTTATTGAGTTACCTCAGCTAGTAAAGAGTTAGAACAGGATAACTGATTTTGAGCCCTTCAGTCTTGTTTCTCAGTGTCCCTGTTTAGCACCCTTAGGGCACAAATTTTAGGCTCAAACTTCAGATTTGAAACCCCTATACCTTGACTGCATTCTTAGAGAGGTACCTGTGAGTTTGTGTGTCTTCTTCTGAAACAGATGCAGAGATTTATTACACAGCCACATGCAGCAGATCAGAATGGCCGATACTGCAGCAAGAAAGGCAAAGAGAACTGCTACAAAATGTAAATCTTCATAGATAATTTCTGTAGGGAGAATGGAAAAAAATAATATTATAAAATTGATTACAAACAGATTGGTATTTAAACACAGGGTAAAGCCAAGAAGTCCCATCTAGTTTGTACCGTAAACATTGACTATGATGGTGCCGTAGGCGTTGGTTCCATACTCCTCTGTTACAGTGACAAAATAGTAGCCGGCATCTCGCATGCCCACGTTGAGAAGCTGTATAGAGCCATTTTCAAAAGTAGTCACTCTGTCCTTGTAGACTGTGGATATGTTGACAAAATTCCCACTTTTCCACTCAACAATGCTGGTGGTGCCCCAGCTTGACACATGCTTCCACTCAATGGTGGCGACGCCTCTGCAAGAGTATTCAACTGAGAGGAGGATGTTTTGTGCCACTGTTGCATTGATGTTGGGTTGTGGGACAACTAACGACACTCCTTCGGGAGCTGAAAGACAAAGGAGGGTGATGAGTGTGGAGGTGATGCTGCACCAAGCATCCAGGGCAGGTTGGGACCTCTGGGTGTGATTCATCCTACCTATCTCAGTGGTCTGTTTTAAGAGAGGACAGATTATGCTTTGCAGTATCTCTTTCTGCTGTCCGTAAAAGTAACATACATCCTTAAAGATTAAACGCACATTTGCAATTGGTGATAGCAAAAATGTTTCTGCCATAGAGGATGAGTAATTGTGTGTGTTTAAATGTGTGGATACCCAAATCAAAAGGAACTTTGGAAGGGTCTTTTTGGATAAGGGAGCATAACATTTTCTGAAAACTGAGCAAAACTTTTGTGTTCATTGGTAACTGGCTTTCTTTTAAAATCCTGCATTTAGATGGAAAGTTTAATCACCATGTCCAAGGTAACCTATTATATTAATTAATTACCATCCCCCAAAAGCAAGAACGGCAGCAGGCATAAGTATGTGAAGACGCGGTAAGAACTTGGTCTTGTTTTCAGGATGTGTAATCAACATTTCAGACATGAGCTTCTTACAGGCAGCCAGTTATATACCAGCACAGATAAATTGCATGTAATCAAACGTACACAGTTTCATGAAAAGCCAGGGACTTCATGTTCCTAATGATGTCCGGGCAAAAATGCACATAAAGGAATATTTAATTCTCATCTAGTTCCTCCTGATGTGACTACAGAGCTGTTCATAGCTGTTCATAACTGTGAAACTGAACAGACCACTTAGTTTAATGTGTAACAGCAATAATTTCTGCTTGCATGTGGGTGTTTCTGCATGAAAACTTGGATGAACACCAATATCTGAGTTTCAACTGGCATACATTTTTTCTTTTTATTAGTGGCATGTTTGAGACACTTGGCTAGAGGCTGAAATCCTGTTATCTCCCCACAAAAATCAAAGCAGACAAAAGGCAGATAAAGCACAGAGTAAGGCTGAAAGCCTTTTCCTGGTTTGGCTTGGAGCAGCTCACCCACTCTTGCTGTGGGAACAGCCCAACTGCAAGAGCAGAATGAAAAAGTAATGCTGACTTGCAAAAGTCTGTAACCCAGTGAGAAGTGAGAATGAGACCCTCAGGTACACTGCAGGAGTGCAAAGCAGGATCCCTGGAGATGATCCTGGAGGTTCTGCAGAATCCTCAGAGATAAGAATGATTAAAAAAGGCAAAGAACAAAAATCTCTAGGGGAAAGAAATTATTTCTAAAAATCTTGAATTAAGAACCCTCCAGGAGCAACCAGAAATGGAAGACATGGATAAATGAATTACAAGCTGACTTTACTGTATTTGGGGTATGTAGCAAAATTCAATAACTCTTCTGGTCAAGGTAAGACAAGGAAGCTCAAGAAGCCAGTTCAATTCCCAGGCCCTAACCTATGGGACCAGATAAAATCTAAGCTTTTTCCAAGATAACACTTCTGGGATTCTCCCTTCATGGGCTTTGTTATGATCACGCTGCCCAGTCCCCCTGCAGGAACATCACACTTTCTGGGCAGCCTAGTGCATCCTCAGCGGAGCTGTGGTCTGCTGTTCAGCCTGTGTGCTGGAGAGACTAACCAGAGCTGTGAAAACAGGGTTTGTGCCAGCTACAGACACAGAACAGCCGGGAACCTCTGGTAATCGCTGCAAATTGTTCCAATTGTTTTCTGCTCCATGTGTCTATTTAAAGGCCTTTCCCACTGTTTCTGATCAGACAGGAGCTGTCTGCCCTCAGTGACTCTTTTATGTTTTGATAGAGGCATGGCTTTGTTTTGAATACATGATTGCAAGATAAATGTAAAAATTAAAAATCTTTCCATTGAATTATTTGCAAATGTGTTCTGTCCATATCTAGCATGCCAAGCTACAAAAGGCAGTGCATATCTAACCATTCAAAAATATTTTTAGTAGGCAGTGTGCGTAGATCACCTGAACCGGTCTAATCCCAGCAGAGCTGCACCAGGCTGGAGAGCAAACATCACACCCATCTGCAGGGCCCTTTGCAGGCCGCTCTGCCCTGCTGCTTGCAAAACCAGACCCTTCCCGCCCAGTAAAACATGCACCCAGGAGAGAGGGCACCGGTGCTGCTCAGAGCACAGTGAGTGTGTGGTCCTGGCACGCTGCTCTGCTCCGAAGTATTTGCCTGGCTGAGGTGGGAAGTGTGGCTCTGTGTACCAGACCTGGCCATAGCAATGCACCTGAGACGGCAGCATGCTGGGGAGTGGGTGGGAAAGGGGCTGAGGGGGCTCAATGCAGGAGCTCTAAACTGAACGCACAACTCTAAAACAGAGCTCTGAAACCCTTGGGGCAGTTCCTCCACCCTTCGGTGTCCTGTTTGTGCATCACCTTTGATTAAACCAAACTCTGGTGGCACTGACATCCTAGTCCACAGGGGTGGGTGGGGTTGGCAGCAGTCTCCTCCAGCCCTCGCTAGGACAGCTAGGACGGTTCTCTGCGTGTTGTCCCATGCCCACTCACCCACTGTGGGGTGCTGGGTTGGAACCCACCTTCTCTTTACCGCCGCGTTTCCCAGCGTGACCCGACGCCCTTCGGACTGGTTAACCGGGCTTGATTCCCCCTCCATGCCTTGTCCCATCGGTTGCTGGAAAGGCAGAGGGCGAAGGGCGGCTGCCGGGGCCATCCCCGCCGGGAGCGGGCGGGGGGCGCGTCCCCACCGCGGCCGCGGCTCCCGCCTGGGTGGCCGGGCTACACCCCCGGGCCGGCCCCGCTCGGCTCCTCAGCTCCCTCCGAGCAGCAGGAGCGGGGACGAGCCTCCCCAGACCATGTACAGCCCGCAGAGGGTAGCGATGCCTGCCTGAGCCCCGGTATGTCCCGTCCCCGGGAGCTCCGGGGCGCCCCGGGCACGGCCGGGCCGGGAAGGGAGCTGGCCGTGGGCGGCGGGCGCTCCGCACCGCCCCGAACAGGTGCCGGGCGCTGGGGCTGGGCTGGGGTATCGCGGCGAGGAGGAGGAAAGGGCTGTGGGAGGAAGGCGGGGGGGGGAGATAGGGACGGAGTCGGACACTTACTCTGCAGAGCCCACCCGGCGGCCAGGCAGAGGGTGACGGTACCCACGACGACGCCCCGTCCCCGGCAGCCCTGCAGCGGTCTCATCAGCGAGAAGCCGATGCCCCAGGGGTTGCATTTAAGTGTCTGGGCCGGCCGGCGCGGCCCTCCTCCGGGGGTTGCCTGCCCCAGGCCTCTCCCTCGCTTCTCTCCCTCGCTTCTCTCCCTCTTCTTCCTCCCGCTCCCGCCGCGGCGCCGGGGCTGCTCCCAGCTCCCCCCCGCACCGGCCCCAGGGCGCTCCCCCGCCTCACACCCCGCGATCCTCCGATCCGCGCTGGAGATGCAATTGGTTGCGGAAGGGAAGGCACTGCCCGGCAGTCGCCCAGCCGGGAAATGAGATGGGCGGCCGCGGAACCGCGCAGCCCTGCCCGGCCCTGACGCTGCCCGCCGGAGCCGGGAGCCGAGAGCTGAGCCCGCGGTCGGGACACCCGGCCGAGGAGGTTGTTTTTAGCTATGACTGCGAGGGAAATTTCTCTTCGGGCTGTTAAAACTAACTTTATTGCCCCGAAGAGTCTGGTGATGCTGCAGGGAAGACGGTGGGACTGGGCATCAGCATCTCTGTCTCCAGGGGTCATCTTTGATGACCACGTTGGAAAATAAGACTCGTTCCCATCCCGTCGTACCCAGCACATGAGCAGGGTGCTCCTCTCTCCCTTCCACTGTCGTCAACGGAGGTTCCCAGAAACCTTGTCCTTCTTTCAGGAAAGCACAGGACAGCGTGAGTTAGTGGGAAACATGATTAGAAAACATGAGTGTCCCAACCCTGAAATTCATCCTTGCTCAGAGGCAGCCTTATATATGGCTACCAGAAGCCATATACATCCTCAGGAGAGCCGCTCCTCTGACCAGGGAAAGAGTAACACCCCAGAATGGCCCTTTTGTAGGTCGTCCATCCTCCTCTTCCTCGCATTTCCCTCTCCTCGAGTTCTCCCTAATGTCATTACACCTCCCTATGTCATTACAGCTTCCTTCTTGCACACCTTAGAGGACTTCTCAGATGCAATAAAATCTCCAACTTCCCCAAATTTTGGTGTCTCCTTTGAAGCTTCATCAATGAGAGTGAGATGAAGGGACTGGGGGAGAGAGGCCAGCAAGGATGCACTGCCCAAACATATATAATCTCACATAGGTTTTTCAGCCTGCCATGGTGCTGGGGTTGCATGAAAGTGCATTTGCGCTTAATCTGCAGAGGCAGGCTATGAATTGCTTACCTTCCACCCCATCTTACATCAAGCAAAGCATTCACCAGCCAGTTGAGGGAAGAAATTGTCCCTCTCTGCTCTGCACAGGTGCGGCCTCACCTTGAATATTGTGTGCAGTTTTGGTCACTGCAATATAAGAAAGATATTAAGCTATTAGAGAGGTCCAAAGGAGGGCAGCGAAGATGGTGAAGGGCCTTGAGGGGAAGCCGTATGAGGAGTGGCTGAGGTCACTTGGTCTGTTCTTGGAGAAGAGGAGACTGAGGGGAGACCTCATTGCAGTCTACAGCTTCCTCATAAGGAGATGAAGAAGGGCAGGCACTGATCTCTGTGGTGACCAGTGACAGGACCTGAGAAAATGGCTTGAAGGTGTGTCAGGAGAGGTTTAGTTTGGATATTAAGAAAAGGTTCTTCACCCAGAGAGTGGTTGGGTTCTGGAATAGGCTTTCCAAGGAAGTAGTCACAGCACCAAGCTTGCTAGAGCCCAAGAAGTGTTTGAAAAAGCTTCTGTGACCTGTCTGAGCTGCTCCTGTGCTTTGCCAAATCATCGTGCCCAGGTGTTGCTGCTGAAGATGAAATTACATGAAAAAGTGTATAGCCCTTCCCCTGGGAGAGATTGCCACTGGCAAAGCTTCTTCCTGATCCCATCACTTTATGGAAGTGCTCCAAAGCATTAAATAAGGTCTCATGGTGATGGGACTTCATGTTATTTTCCTTTTTCATTTCTTTCAACCTTTATTTAAATTATTTTTGAGCTTTTGGCCCAGTGACCTATTTTGGCAGCACAACATATGGGGCAGATGCTTATATAAAATGAACTGAACTTTACCTATTTTAAATGTATTACACTGGTTGCATGAATTTAATCCAACCTATTGGAGAGACAGATGTTAGTCATGACATTGAAATCTGCATCTGGAGCTCTTCTCAAATACTGAATTTTGGCTCTGCAGTATGTGTCAAATGTTCAGTCCTGGGATAAGAAATGAATATTTGTGTTCAGCATCAATAATTAACAGCAAAGAGCTTTTAGATTCCTTCTTTTTAAAGGGAAAACTATAAAATATCTAGAGGGGTTTTTTTCAATATAAGCTTCACATCAAGAAATATAGTGACATCACAAAATGCCCAGCATTAAGAAAGCATTTAATCAAGCTATTATAAACCATATTTATTTGAAAGCTGACTGGTTCCTTTCTCCCTGACAGCCCATTGGAAACAGTGCTCCCTGCCTCTGTGGTGCAAACATTCCCTCTGAAAGAGATGAGGTTTCTCTTAAACAGAAATGCATCGGAGTGTGAAACGGCAGCAATGGGTGAGTGCTTTGGGCAGGGTGGGAGCCAGGTGGCAGGGAAGCTGAGCAGCGGAGGGCAGGGGGGATTTTTCACCTTGGTGTGCGGCCCCATCAACAAGTGACTACAGAGAGAATCACTCAGCTTCAAGGAATTAGAATCATTTAGTTTGGAAGAAATCTTTAAGGTCATCAAGCTTGACTGTTCCCCCCGCACTGCCAAGTCCACCACTAAGCCAAACATGTCCCTAAACACCACATCTACAGTCTTTTAAGTACCTCCAGCGATGGTGACTTCACCATTTTCATGGGTAGCCTATTCCAGTGCTTGACAACCCTGTCAGAGAAGCAATTTTTACTAATATCCAGTCTAGACCTCCCCTGGCACAACCTGAGGTCATTTCCTCTTGTACCGATGATTTACAGCTGTATTACTGATTAGCAGCCAATCTAACCTTGATGCTTGACCCCTCTGAGTTCCCCCAGCCTCTAACTGCCTCTCAGCACCCCAAATTCAATGGGGGAAGGACCTCAGCAGGTATCTCTTGCTGTTGGGATGGAATTTGAAGAGGATGCTGTGGATAAGCTGGTGTGGAGGTCGTGGGCTTTGGTGCTTAGGCATCAGTGCAAGGCTTCAGCAATGGAGCTGCTTCTGCCAGGTGAGACCAAAGGGATGCATCCTGCCTGACTCTTCTGCAGGATTGCAAATTTGGTAGCTAACTCAGGGTAACTTTACAGGAAGGCCAGATTGGAGTGTTATTCCTGATTTTACTTACCTTAGCATATTCACGATGTGTTTTCCTAACAAAGCTTTTTATTAAAGTCCTGTCCAACCACATCCAGATGAGACTAATGATATGTCACTCCAGGTTATAGATGTTTCGTCCATTAGTGCTGCTCTACTGGTTTTACTTTTCTCTGCTTGTCAAACAGCAGTTCTAGGAAACATGGACATATTATGCAATACAATACAGACTGTAAAAAATGAGTTTTTCTTTGTTTATTACCAAGTGACCTTAAACTAGCAGGCTCTGGCAATGATTTACAAGGCTTGTAAGAGATTTGACTCACAATCCCAGCACTGCTATAGATGTCTGCAGATTTTATTGCTATATGCTCAGTATTGTAATTTTCCCTTTCCCTTTGCTTATTTCCATTATTTTAAGCATTTGTTTCCTTCCTTCTTGTTGGAAGATGTCAGATGACAGTCTCTCAACTTTGCGTGGAAGGTCTCATTTCTCTTTCTGGTGTCATTAATAATGGAACAAAACCACATTAACAATTGCAACAACAGCCAGATAGGAGCCAGAAAGCTCCTTTTGCTCTCTAATATGCTGCATGAGTAGTCTGAAGTGCTTTATACTGAGGGCTTGCTTTTTTTTTCCTCACCCTTTTGCGTTGATGTCTTTTTTCATCTTGACAAAATGCTTGACCTTGTCTTTTGCTGAAGAAAATATAAAAAATATAAAAAACAGAGTTAAAAATCCAAAGAAATTACAGACAGGAAATAGCCCTTGAGAGGTAATTTAATCCTGCAAGAAACCATGGGGGAAAACTGAGCAAAGAAATGTTAGCAGGGACTGCAGGACATTGCATCTGCAGGGTTAGAGGGCTCCAGAGGCTGCTCACCACTGCCTTGAGATGCTTTTGATTGATACAGTGAGCTGACATACAGCTGGCAGGGAGCAGGAAAGAGCTGCAGGCTTCTGAATCAGCAACAGAAATGTACACTAGGCACAGGAATAGTCTAAAAATGGGTAACATCCTGTTGGCCCCTCCTCGTTCACATGAAGATGGTGGTCCAGGCTTAGCTTATTCTGGTCTTCTGTAAGTGAAAAGAACATTCATCGTGAGGTCTTGGTGTATAAAAAACATTAATTCCACTTGTATAAGATGAAAAAAAGGCTTTTTCATCTCAAGTAGAACGTGGCCAAATCTGCACTTTGCATGTCAGTGGTTTCTTTTTGCCTTTTTTTTTTTTTGGCAGAGGCACAATGCAAAAAGCCCTTCTCTTACCCCTAATCAATCAGTGGCTGTAAGAGGAGAGGCCATGGGCAGTTCTGGTCTGTCAGCATTCCTCCACTTTTTAAGCTCTCTGGACTGCCTGAGTCTCCTTTTGGATTTGGTCTGTGAGTTTGCAGGTTAGGAAAACAGAGGGGAAAAAAATCAAATGATGGTGTAGAAATGGATATCTGGGAATGCACAGATACTTAGTAGAAGGAAGACATTTGGAAACAGCTGTTATCAAATTGGAGGTACTTAAAGCACACCTTTGAGCTGGGTGATTGTATTCGTCCATGAGGCACTGTTGAGGATCTTCCAAGATCCTCCTCCTTCTGTATTTATAGGGACTGTAATATCCCCATGTTCTTTCAGTGGGAAACCAAAGCACTAAATTACTCTTTTTTTCTGAAAGTTTATGCTAAAACAGAGGAAATAAATCCTCATTGTCTTGAGTCTCTGAGGAGGTCTTTATCCCACCTCTCTGGGCAACCTGTTCCAGTGTTTCACCACCCTCACTGAAAAAATTCCTTCCTTCAGATTAAAACCATTACCCCTTTTCCTATCACTACAGTTCCAGCTGTGCCTTGGCCTTCCTCGTCCTCATTTGCTCACTTCCTAAGATGCAG